GATGGAGCTCCTGATCCATCTGGAGGCTTCCTTGGGAAAAGGGATCCTGGTGCCCTTGGAAAGCTCCTGCCCGTGTCTGTGGTGTTCTGGTGCTGAGGGCACTGCCGGGACCCCCACTTTGCCCCATGGCAGCTCCTTCCTTCCCCCCGGCTGCAGCCCAGCTGCTCCTCGTGGGGCTGGGACTCCTTTGGGTTTCCTTAAGATGGACAAAGGTTGCTCAGGTTGGGCAGAGCTGCTGCTCTTTGGCCATGAAGCTGTTGCAGCAGCAGAGGGGACACGCCTGGTGCTGCCTCACCTCAGAGTTGGCAGTGTCAGTGCCAAAAAAGCCTGGTGAGATGCTTCCCAGGGCTTCCCATGTCCTTGAGGTGCCCCTATGCTTGTGAGTTCAGGCCCCCTGTCCCACCTTCTCTGTCCCCTCGTGCTAACAGTTCTCCTCTCCTGCAGGTGACCAGGATGCTGCACCATGGGAAGCACTGGAGGTCCATGTGCAAGGGGCTCGTCCTGGGGACCCTCCTGACCAGCTTCATGCTGCTGCTCTACTCCTATGCCGTCCCCCCACTGCAAGTCAGCATGACAGAGTGAGTGTGGGGTCCCAAGTGTCTCCCCCGGCAGCTTGGCCACCCTGCTTCACACCCAACCACAGCTTTCCACCTCTGGAAAGCTTGGGAAAATCCTGGAGCTTCCCAGGCTCTGGTGGCTTTACATCAAGACATCCCCTTCCTACAATCTCCTGCTGGTGACTGCACCCCATGGGATGGTAAAGGTGAACCCCAGCTCCCTGGGGGGCTGAGAACTCTCACTTTGGGACAGGATGGATATGTGTGTATCCATACACACACCCTGGGTGATGGTGAGACAAGGAGGTGCAGGAGCCTCCCAGCCCACCACAGTTTCATGTCCCCTGGGAGGAGGAAAAGCACCTCAGGGACATTCCCCAGCAGCCAGGAGCTGCAGGCAGAGGGAAGCAGTTATTTGGGTGCATGTCATCAAGGGCTTGTCCTTCCAGAGCTACCAGAGGGCTTCCACATGTACACTGTCACGCAGAGCGATGGGCAGGGGGAGGATCAAAGCTCTCTACTGCCTGGCAAAAGCTCAGCTCCTGGTATTAGATTTATCTCTAAGCTTATCACCTGGATCCACCTGTGGGTGCTGCATGAGCTGCTGCCCATGCTGCAGAATGGGATTGTTATCAGGGATCAGCTTTGCACCTTCATTAACGGTGTCCAAAGTCACTCACAGAGGGCTCTGCTCACTGCCCCAGGCAGCTCGGGTAACACACACGGAGTTCACAGTGCTCCTCTGTGGAGCCAGACAGGGGCATTATTCCCCTCTTCACGGGGGTGCTGGACCCTCCACTGCTCCTACAAGGGGTTGGGAGCTTCCAGGCCTCACAAGAACATTAATAGTTCCTGTCCATGGAGTTATGGCCATGGAGAGCTCATCTTGATGCACGTCTCAACATCACCCGTACCAGGGCCACCACGGCCATACCCGTGGGGAAGGATGGGGGCCCCCTGCTCAGGCTGTGCTGATGCTGGTGGGGTCTTACCCCCATAGCAGCACATCCTCAGTGGCTGGGGTTGTCCAAGGGCGGGTGAGCTTGGTTTTGGTGGGTTGGGGTACATGTGACATCAGGAGGTCTGGGATGGTGGGGGGTACAGGGGCTGTGCCCAAACCCAACCTCCTCTGCACTGGGGATCCTGGTGGGTGCTGGGGGTGAGCACCCACCCCCAGGCTGAGCACCCTTCCCAGGTCCAGCTCCTCCAGGAAGGAACACAGCCGACCTCAGTGGTGGCTGGGCTGTCTTGGCCCAACTGCCCTCTCACTTTGTCCCATCTCCTCCCCACCAGGATCCCCATCTCCTCCTCTTGCTCCTCCTCCACAGCCCCTGGCAAGGCTCCAGCAGCGGCGGCCAACGGCACGGGCATCCCACCGGGCCGGAGCTGCGTGCCCAAGGTGAATGTCATGTTCATGAAGACACACAAGACGGCCAGCAGCACCATCCTCAACATTCTCTTCCGCTTCGGGGAGAAGCACCACCTCAAGTTTGCCTTCCCCAATGGCCGCAATGACTTCTACTACCCGGCGTTCTTCGAGCGCAGCCAAGTGCAGCACTCACGGCCTCGCGC